CCGCGTGATTTTGTCGCTGGGAACAGTATTAACGAACCATCCCGTATGTTTATTTCAATCTATGAACTGCCAGATGAATGAAAACCACGCCGGTAAAGTCCATCGTTAACCAGTTAGCTGTGGCGCCTCTTTTTCAATGCGCGCACCTATACGTGTCGCGAGAATCAGGCGACGACGAGTAAACTCGTCGAACACAGATTCAGTGTCGCTGTTAAAATATTGGATCAAAAAGACGGTTTCATTTTACAAAATTAACCATCTTATTACTAATGTTTATTTATTCGCTTAACATTAACATATACTACGTACATAATAAACGAAAAACGCGGGAAAAATCAGATACTTATAAAAGTTAAAAATTCAAATCGCTGCTGTAAAATGGTATTCAGCAAAGCAAGGTACAATACGCAATGGCACCTTGCACATCGAACACCAATATCGTGAATTATTCACATAATTATTCATATGTTTTATTTGTTTGTTTTATTCCGGCCTGGCCTCAAAGTATTCTGAACGTCTTGAAATTAGAGAATATGTTTTCGTTTTCACCAAAATTACAATTTAAATAGCCAATGTTCACTACTTTTTACGCACGACGAATATACTCGTCGAGACACAAAATAATGCCGCTTCTCCATGACGAGTATACTCGTCAAACACAGCTAACTGGTTAAACGAAAATCTTCAGCTCAGTGAACACAACCCCAATTTAACTATATCTGAACATCGTTGAATATATTTACACAGTATGTCTTTCAATAACGCTGAAACGCGGTTAATATCCAAGACTCATCCATTTTCTATTTTCAGGCACCGTAGCATGATTTATTTTTGATAAGGATTTGCGATAAATCAGCTGAGGTTTTAAATAAGCGGATTTTATTATAACACGTGAACGTACGGGACAGAAAACCGATATCCGAAACGACAGACTTCTTCACTGCGTGATCTTAACATCTGACTATTAATATTCGTAGCACTCTTCAATTAACAGAGAAGTTTGTATCTTTAAACGCGTTAAAAGATCAATATAGTTTCTAACAGTTTTAGCAATGTTATTCGTTGTTGCGATGTATTAAAATCTTTTGTTGTATGATATCGGTAGACCGCGGATTTTTATGCAAAATAAGAATTGTCCGCAACGATTGCAAGAAATAGAAACTACATAGCAAATTCGCTCTTTTTTAAATCATTTTGATGGATTAAAAATAGTACATTCAGAATTTTCAATTCTTTTAACCTGTTTGGAACATTAAATTGTAATTACTCAATTTCACCATAAATTCATAAATTTCGCGGTCTAGATATTAGGTTGCAACATGCATACACTCGTCATACAATACATTATACACACTGTGCCAATTATTTTCTTATATTCGCAAAATATTCATAGTTTTCTTATATTTGCAAACTATCGATAGTTGCTTAAATCGTGAAATCAGAGATGACTGTTAATTTCGACCTCTGTTTTGCAGCTTCGAGTGCGAAACTCTTCTAAAAAAATTATTATTATTACATATTATCTGTTATTTACGGGAACATCGACACGATAAAAAAATCTGCAATTTAAGGAGACATTTTTCGCGCGTCGCGCTAGTTCTATTTGAGCCGTTTATTTTGAAAGTGGCACGAGTCACTTTACTGTAATGAAAAGTGGTGATTTTTTAATGTTTACACGAAATTATTTATACCGAGAAAAATATCAGTATCCTGAGATAACGAATACAAGTAAATCTTCTCGAAAGTTAGCATCCATATTTTTAAAAGTGTTAAAACGCAAACCCTTAAAATTTAAGAGGGTTTATATTTAATATATCGACCTAAAAACAAAGTGACTTATGCCACTTTCAAAATAAACGGCTCATTTATTTATCGTCTTATCCCTGACTAAAGCTCGGCGCAGTACGTCATTCCAGCGCGAGAGGTTAACGCAGAATTTTGCAACGTATTAAATGTATGGCAGGATNCCGAGAAAAATATCAGTATCCTGAGATAACGAATACAAGTAAATCTTCTCGAAAGTTAGCATCCATATTTTTAAAAGTGTTAAAACGCAAACCCTTAAAATTTAAGAGGGTTTATATTTAATATATCGACCTAAAAACAAAGTGACTTATGCCACTTTCAAAATAAACGGCTCATTTATTTATCGTCTTATCCCTGACTAAAGCTCGGCGCAGTACGTCATTCCAGCGCGAGAGGTTAACGCAGAATTTTGCAACGTATTAAATGTATGGCAGGATAGATCATCGCAATTTGTTAATTTTCGAAGGGTTCCGGTAAACGGCGGTCGCCGAAGATCGAAGATGCGGTCGCCGTGCGCGCACACGTGTCTGGTTATGCGCGTGGAAATGGCGTGTTGAAATCGACAGGAGGCTCTTTAGGTATTTATTTGTAAGCCTGGTATATACGCAACGTGGGTTCCCGTGTTGTGCCATTCGGAGAGACCTCGACAACCGCCACTTAAGCGGAACGCCGGAGGGTTGGCTGCCTTCCCCTGTATTCAATTAGTACACCGCACGAAATATCAATGCCATTGCTGGAAAGCTCCTTCGACGTTCTCGAGCATGGGGGAACGAGAGGATACTTTCCGGGAACCACAATTATTCCAATTGAAGCATGCGCCGCCATTCGAATTGCTGTTAATCTCTCGGTCTTTAGCGACTTCGGGGTTCTGTCAAAGAATCATTCTCTTTGTAACAGTATATTATTGCACTCACGCTCGCTGCGTCTGATCTCTCGTATCGTTTTCATCTCTGTGCGACGGAACACCTAATATTGTAAATTATACTCGTGTGCAATGTAACGCGGGACTGTCAATTTTTATAATAGAGATGACGTATGATGATTTGCGGATCTTTAGACGAAATAAACATCGTCTGTAAGGTAGTGAAATCAGTTATTACGAGGTAGTCAATTACTGTGCATTTAGTTTATTTTCAAGCATACTTAACCTTATACTTATTGAATAACGTACATGAATTTTTTTTACTTAAATTCAGTTATTTATTTATTCGTTAAAATTAAATATGTTGAAGACGGAAGTTCTTAGAATAAATGAATAAATGAATTTGATACCTTACACCTATTAAATAACATACATAAAATTTTTTTACTTAAACTCAATTATTTATTTATTCGTTAAAATTAAATATGTAGAAGACCGAAGTTCTTAGAATAAATGAATAAATAAATTTGATACCTTATACTTATTGAATAACATACATAACATTTTTTTGCTTAAATTCAATTATTTCTTTATTCGTTAAAATTGAATATGAATTTGATATTTAATTCGCGTAATTTCCTGCAAAGCTTACGAGAAAGTTTAGGAAAACACTGAACAAATGAAGATCAATATTCGGTAAAATAAATCGTTCTAGGTAAGATATCACAATGTTAATAGTATTGATAAGACGTATTAAGATTACAGAAAAACCAAACATTAATTATTTATTTGACTTTTCCTTTTTAGCTTGAATTTCAGTTGCATAATATCAGGTGTGTACTAAAATAGAACAGTCATTAATATTCATTCCAATTGTCCGCTAATATTGTCATGTTTGAAACGACTAAAAATAAAATATATATATTAGAGTAATCGTTGAAATCTTAAATTGAATTATTTGCATAAAACATACTGGATTTCTTATTGATATATCCAGTGCAAAATCCGACGGATATTATCGGTAAAGGCGTGGGAGAACCCGAAAATATCGGGTCGTGTCGCGGTGGATAATTTATCGGGTATCGTGACGCCCGATTTTATTTAATCACATCACATCACTTGTATATTTGACTCTCGTCGGTATCCGCTAATTGTATGCGATCCCTGGAGTCCTGCCACTTAATCTATGACAGCAATATTTTAAATATCCTCGGGAATACTTTCCGTCGTTCACTTAACTGATTATATCCCGGAATTTTGTTGGACGTAATGCTATTAGGTATCTAATCCGACGAAGATATCTCGTAAGGTAACAACGAGCAGCATATCATCGGTAGAATTTGCTTGCCAGAAAATCAATTTACCAAACAGAGACCGATTTATTCGTAGCCACTCATAACGTATTTATTTCTGACACTCTAAAGAATTCAATCGCGTTCGGCCTAATCGATACTCGTATCTCTAAATTTTCATTTTATATGCAATTTTCATAATGCTGAAATTCTTGATTTATACGTGATCGTTATAATATGATTTTTATTGAATAATTCTGTTAAATTACATTTGCAGCTGGCCAATTGTGGCACTGAAAATAACGGTATTAGATTGCACGTGCACCGTCATGTATTTAACATTAGAAGCGCACTTAGAAGTGCACTAATAATGCAAATCCGTCTATTATATTTTATATTTAACACTTTGACTGTCACGCCATCCAAATGTCGGTGACCGAATTATTTGCTCAGATTAAAAAATTAATTGTTACGCTAATCTATTATGTCGTTTTAATTTTATCAGGATCCGCGAATTGCGAAAGCAACAACTTATTATACAAGTTAACAACATTTCAGTTTTAATGTCGTGCGAATTTTATTAAATTTTTGACATTATCCGCAGTCGAACCGTTAAACAAGTTGACCGTATAATTTCATTATAAAAGGAAAAAGTTCCACACTTTTCTATTTAATCTGCAAACTGCGATCGAAAGAACGCGGCACGATTTCCAGTGGGCGTCAAAACACACTCGAGCCCATGGAATTGCACTCACGACACGAATTCACGAGAAGTTAGCTGTTAATTATCTGCATTTTTTAATTACCGGCCTCCGTTGTTCACCGTAATCACTGCGTGAAAATTTCCGCGCGAACTGGCGAATTCACGCTACATATTCCGCGGGCTCGCGTCCAATTAGAAACTTTCGTTTTGCACCCCTGTTTTATCGAAACCGCCCCTGCCCACGATCATCCAACTTCCCATTCCGGCTGTATTTACCGTTCGCGTGCCCCCGCCCCGACCCACACTGATTAATAATCGATTCTCGTTTATTTTTCAGAACATGGACATTGCGAAGGCTTCGGAGCGCATGTTGAAGCTTGCTGTGAGTATAATGTAGCCTAGGGGAAAAGAAACGAAAGAGACAGCAAAGTGAGCGACTAACAAGCTCAGGGTGATCGAAGTCTGTCAGCGTAAAAAGATAAGGGGACACGATATAGAGCGCGATTCATAGCGCCGGGGCCGTGTTCGCTGCGAGAACCAATTCTTGCGTTATAAAAAGACACTTATCAGATTCATGAACAGTATCAGACCTTGAGATATTGTTTAGAGGGTACTCTGTATATTGATTCCGTTTTCTGCACTGTGTAAATCTTGAAACGTTATTTATATATTAGAGAATTTTATAAATTGATTTCTCTTCGTCTTTTGAAATATTTAATACACGGATTCGTGACATCTTTTTAACAGGATAATATCTTCATTAATACTTTCATTATCTTACTTCTAGATTTATGAAAAGTTCGATCTGCCATAATCTTTACGTGATTTATAATATGAATATAATGGAAGTGCAAGTAATGTGATATGCGTGCTATTCGTATGATACGAATATGATATAAAATGTTAAAAATAATATAGAAAGTAGATATATATTTCTTCTATTATACTTATTCACTTTAGTCAGCACTGAAATGATTAATTATTAATGTAGTAATACTTACGTATTACACTGTTGTTTCGTATTTGATATTGAAGCTCAGTGATCGTCCACGTGGACGTTTTAAATTCATTACTATTTCTAGTGCGCGGAGCAAATAAATTAGACTCGTCATCTATAATTGTCTAAAAGCTCGGATAAAATCTAGAAACCTCGAACATTTTAGATAAATAAGGAAGATCTTGAATGGACCACAGAAAACACAGACCCCTAATTGCTAGAACTCAAGAACAGGAATAAGACGAGCCGAGAGACGAATAGCTGAAACTCGAGTGAACTAGAAAATAATTACTCTGCCTCTGGAACGACATTTATGAACCTCTCCTGCCAGAACTAAAAGATGCCGTATCAGCAAAGGAGATCCAAAAGACGTTCAGGTGAACCTGCGTCTCCAAAGTGACGTTTAATTCGCCACGAGGACCTTGGGTGATGCTCCAAGACCCCAGAGAATCTCGTCCAACACTCGCGACCCAAGAGAGTCTAACTCAGATCCTTAAAACGCACTAAAGACCTCTGAGTGTCTCTTGACTGACCCTCGGAGGACAGATTCTTGGTGTTATGGGTCCGCGACCAGGGTCCTTAAAACGGCGAGGCGTTGCGGTAAATTTCATCGTAACTATTAATCTTCGATGGTCCAGCAAAGAACCAGCAAAAATTGATCGCTAGACACCTTAGACACCGTAAATTATCTATCTCTATACACTCAACTCCATTAAGAAATATGACAGAATAATTATTGCAGAATAATACGCAATTCCATAGAACCTGTCGCTAATGACTTTGCAATCGATGCGACACTAACCCTTTGCACTCGGGACTATTTTAACGCGAGAATGAAAACGTTTGTTTCATCCTACTCAAAGAAAAAAAAACGAGTCTCTCTGGAATATAGAGAGTTAACACTTTGCAGGCTGGTGATTGTGATCACAGTCGAGAAATGAGTAAACTTTGAAATCGACGATCTGTTATCTCAGTCGAGTGATCGAACATCTCCATTCATTCATTAAATATCAATTACTATTCTGTAAAATATATTTCCTTTTAGGTAAGGTTTAGCGGATCCAGCTCCGACATTACAAGACATTATTTTTACAAAAATGACAGACAAATCTGTATATATTTTTCGAAGCTCCCAGTCTAGAATACGCTCTTGAGACAAGACTGAGAGCTAAACAGCTGCATCGTCTTAAGAATTCAAGAAAAAAATATGGAAGATAATTTTGATTTATGTATTAGATTAATCCAACAATAACATTTGTGAATTATGAAGTAGATTAACATGGACAATAATTGGATTTGCCAGCAAAGTGTTAAATACAGCAAAGTCTCCCAATTTTTCTCCAGCTTGTAAACAAAAATGGACAATTTGGGAAGAAGAGATACGATTATTCGAGCATCGCGGCTCATTCTTATAGTTACCGATCGCCAACAATTCGATTATATAACTGCCAACTCGAATAATCGTATCGTCTCTTCCCAAATTGTCCAATTTTGTTTACAAGCTGAAGGAAAATCAGGGAGACTTTACTGTAGCCGCGTGACTCGATTTTGAAGTTGCTCGTCTAAGTTCGAAAGGAAACGCGAGCCCGGCGAATTGTGTCGCACAGCCTCCGGCTTCTTGTATCGCTGGAACACCGGCACTCCGCAGAATCGTTCGGCAGAAAGAAAGAACTGCGCGGGAGGCTCCGCGGCTTCGACCGGCTCGTTTATTGATAGGAACCGCGTTACAAGGTAACTCCGTTACAAGCCGCCGTTTCCGACGGCGTATAACTCAAACGGCGACGTCACCGGCGACCGGCTTGCACACCCGGCGAAAGTTGAATCATGAATTCATAGATTCCGCGGAACTTTCGGGCCGGCATGGCATTCAAATGCCCGGCTGTTGTCGCGCGTTCCGCGACGCGAAACTAAAGCGTTCTCCAGCGGACGGATTTACAGCTCTGCTTCTGCCACTATATTGCCTTCGCGCTCATTGAAAACGCGTTCTCGCGTTACACGTCGACTCGCCGGGAACGAGCCGAAGATCGAGCATCGGCTCCAGGTGAAACACCGTCGCGAAATAATAGCCCACGGCTTCTTGTCCGCGGGAACCGTTTCGACGGCTCTCTTGTTTCCAAGTGGAAAGAATACATAGTTCGTGTCTGCTTTAGCATCGCTCGTGCAGCCGAGGGTGCTCCAACGTTCTATTAACTTTCCACTCACTATTTTTCCTGGGAAACGTCGGGGGCTACACTTCTCTTTTGCGCGAGCGCACTTGACACGTTACTCAAGCTTTGCAATAACTCGCGATTACGTTCGACGAAATCTTCGATGTGTGTTATTCATCTCACCGACGAGGAGAGCTCGTACCTGCAGAGCCGCCGATTTCAGCGATACTTATCATAGTGATTCTAGAGACGATATAAGCAGACACGCGTGTCCATCTTTGACAATGTTCGATCTTTGACGAAGACATTTTACGTGAAATGTTTATGTTTTACTTGTTCTTTCGATGCATACCTTCCAAGAAATCTTGGGAAATGATGGAGATATAGCTAATAAGCTAAGCTAATAAGTTCTGAGAAGTTTGTCCATGTGGTTCACTGCATCGATCCTTCAGTGTACTGAATTGTCAATCATTCAGAATATGCGATCATTCTTGACATGGTTCTCCTAAACCTTCGCTACGTATCGTCGAAGTTAACTCGAGACGACATCAAACGGAATCTATTAACGGTAAACCTACCGAGCAGTGAAATTGACTGGTTTGCATTGCCTTGTAAAAATAAAGAGGTCCAATTTCTTTCTTTTCTGTCGAGTTTTTATTACAGCAGTGGCTAAAATAATGTCCTTCAGTGTAACTTTTAACGTGATTAAAAAAGTGCGTTATAAATTTTATAATGCTTATAATATAATGCTATAATTCTTATAGTGCTAAATGTGTGCAATATTTATTGATTAGATTCTGAAAATTCGCCTATTAACTTTCCACTCGCTATTTTTCCTAAAAAACTTTGTGGGCCAGCAACACTTTTGTTTCGTGCAATCATTCTTTCGATTCGTGAGATAACTTCGACTAGCATCAATCAAATATGTACAATATTAATTAAAACTCGACCGAGGTACGTGAACAATATAAAAAATAATTGATTAATTAATTTAATTAAAGATACGATACGTAAAATACAATAACATGGAAAATTGTTGCAACTCTTCCGAGTGAAACATTTTCAAGCTTCATCATAAAATAGTACAGCGAAAACGAATCGAATATTAGATTAAATACGATCGAATAATATTGAGCAAAGAATTGACTTACCAAATGTTTGCTGTGAACGGCTCTCACGTTAACACCGCAGCACCGGTTTTCTGGAAACGCGATCCCGATTCGCCAGCAGAATTTCCGGCAACCGTCCCACCTGTTTATCAGCTCCGTCGGTTCCCGCAGGATTCAGCGCTTTCGCGGGTACCTTCGAGCCACGTTCTAATTACTACTTTCGATGCTGCGGCTCGTTCCACGATATCAAGAGATCGCGCGAGCACGGGTGCCTTGTAAACAGTATGCGACAAAGCCCAGTCGCCGAAACGGTCGTGTAACCGCGGGCCTTAGTGCTCGCGATCAAGTCTGAGATCTGGATCCCTCGATTATCGTTTCGCCGGCGAAGGGTCCCGCTCGCTTGTTAACATCGTTACCTGGATTTTATCGGATTTCAAGCCCGAGTATAACCGCGTTGTCCCCATAAACGGCGACGTAAACTCCGAAAACACGGCGTGGTAATTTGACACGTAACATTTGCGGCCGCCATTAAACCTCCGATACTCGGCCGCCAATGCTTTCGATGCGTTAATTAAAATTTTCCGTCGGCGCGTTCGCAGCGTGCGCGCATTAAATCCGCGCTGGGTTTTCGAACGAGGGTGTAGAACGGCGGAGGGACGTGAACGAAGGGGGTGAGGGATGCTCGTCAAAGGGCCCCCGGGTCTGTCCATCAGCAAGAAAAATCGGGGAAATTCGTGTGTCCGCGGCGCGCCGCTAACACGCGACAATGTTTGCGTATTAAAAATCGGTACGCGAACGAGGAGGTGCGATAATGGAAAGGTAATCAGAAGAATGGCTTCCCGGAGCTGCACGCAACGTTCCCTGCGACCACCACCCCCTGTTAATGCGAAAGCCACATTCACGGCGAGAACAAGTATCGCGCGCCAACAAACAACCCCGATAATGAACGGAAGACTTTTAATTTGCTGCCGAGGCAGAGATACTCGGATTATTTCCCGGGTCCTCGCCGAGCTGGCTAAAATATAATCGGAATATTCGCAGGTTAATATCGTTCCGAAGCGAAGCTGCCACTTCTGCTGGCACACATCTTCCGGTACAGCTGCTTCCGTTTATAACCGCGGATAAATCG